GAAAAGGTACAGAACGGGCAACAGAAACAATTAGGGGTAATGAACAGCTTCCATGAGGAGAGATTAACAAGACTGGGACTTTTCAGCTTGGAAAAGAAATGACTAAAGGATGGGGGGATATGTTAGTGGTCTAGATTAGAAAATCACAAATGATGTGGAAAAATAAAATAAAGAAATGTTATTTACTCCATCACTAACATAACACAAGACTTAATTTAAATTTATAGACAGCAAATTTACACCAAATTATTGCTTCACAGTCAACCTGTGGAACTCTTTGCCAGGTTATGGTGGAAAGGCCCAAACTGTAACAGGGGTCCAATAAGAAAAAAGTAAGTTCAAGGAGAGTAGGTCCATCAATGGCTACTAGCCAGAATGGGTAGGAATATTGTCTCTGTATGCCAGAAGCTGTGAATGAGTGAAAGAGGATGGATCATTTAATGATTTCCTCTTCTGGTGATGCTTCTGAAGCACCAGGCATTGGCCACTATTGGAAGACAGGATAGTGGGCTAGATGGACCATTGGTCTGACCCAGTAAGACTAGTCTAACGTTCTTATACAGCACCCAAATGTATCTGCACTCTGAAGTAACCCACTAGACCCCACTCCCCTTCCAGAGCTGAGATAGTAAGAAAGTGTCGGGACTCTTGGTCTCTAACTGCAGAGAGAGAGATTAAGACTATATTTTAACATTTTAAGGCTAACCAGTGTCCTTAAGTGACTTGCCACAAGATGTCAGAACATGTTAATATTAGAGCAGAGTGGATCTAATATTTATTTAAATTTTCTGTCTTTTATATAGGAATTTTATACAGGGTTCCTGTCAGCTAATTGCTAAGCAATCTGCCCCAAAAAACCTAGAATTTTCTAGTGCATTCGTAGCCCTAGAAAGAGGTGATATATATGTGTGGGGAGGGCAAATGGAATCAGTTCTCCCCCACCCCATTTGCTGCTTGGCTTGTACTAAGCAAGCTCAGTAAAACGGCTGAAGCTGCTGTCCCGCCCCCATCAGGATATGCACAGGTCACCCACCCCCACCAAAATCTGAAATGGTGCCACTGCACATGCGCAAAGCATCCGATCTTTGTGAAATGACGAGAATGTAGTGCTGGAAACTGCTCATAGGAGGGTTTCTCTGAGCCAGATTTCTGCCAATGGGAGCAGTGGGGAGCGCGGAGCTAGGTAAGCGCCCCCCCCCATGGCATCATAGCCAACCAGTCTTGGCACCTGCATCCTTTTCCCATTCCCCTCTCCTGCCCAGCTCTTCCAGTTCCCGTTGACTCCTGCACCCTTGCTGACACCCCACTCTCAGCCTTCTCTTGCACCTCCCTCCCAGCTCTCTCGCTCCAGCACCGTACCTCCCTCCCAGACCCCCAACCTTACTCCATCCCACTCCTTGGTAGCCCCCTCCCACACACTGAATCCCTCATTTTGGTTTCACCCCAGAGGCTGGGGAGCTCACAAAATCTACTAACCCTGGGCCCCAAAAGGAGTTAATCCAGCCTGTGGGAAGCCCTGAAGCTTGGTACTCCCTGCCTCCTCTCCCCTCCCTGGGGCTGGAGTGCCAGGGAAGCGAGGTATCTCAGTTGAGGGCCACATCAGTGAGGGTTGGGGGTTTTTTTTTGGGGGGGGGGTGCCTCTCACTTGTTGGCTTCTGACCAATTTTTCTGTAGATCTGTTGAATTGCACAAAATTGCAGATATCCTGGACACAGATAACGGCCTTGAGTACCACATACCAAAATACCACTGTTGTGCCTCCTGCTTGTTGAATCTGGTTTCATCTGTAGATGTCATACAGGCTGAATCAAATTACACGTACAAAAAGCTAGCCAGGTCCAATTCTGCCAAATGCCAAGCACTATGGAATAAAACTGAATACAACTACTGGAGTAGAAATGGTGGAAACAGAATGCAAGCTACAGTTCCATTTGGCCAAACTAAGGATGTTAAAATGAGGTTAATGGACTAGTCCATTGGCACTTGTACATTTCAAAGGAGGAATGCGGAACTCTGAACAGCTTGGGACCAGCAGGAAGTCCTGCTGATTCCGGCTGCACGCAGGTGCCTGCTTTGAAATGCACAAGAATCCCCAGTGGGGACCACATAGTATCACATAGCTCTTCCTAAACAAGAACATGTATTCTTAAGGTGAAAGCTTTAGAGAGAAAATATGTTACAAACAACAAAATCTACATGCACTAAATATAGTTTACCAGAGAACAAAAATCTGGCCAGAGGCAGTCCTTCAAACTCCACAGAGAGGTTTTTCTGTGGTTACAAGTTCCTAGCAGCCTCAGCTTAGAACAAGCAAACCCTTATACAGATCTGCCTTGGACTTTTGATCTTCAGACTCCAGGAACAGGTAACCAGAGGACAATGGCATGCTCCTTAAAACTGCTTGAAAAGGCTAGATTTTTGCATAACCAAGGGGAGAGGGGAAATTTACATTCACCTCCCTATCAGAGGCCCCATGCAAATCATTTGATACTGTTTGTTCCCAAAGTCCATTCTTGCATGGCACGTTATTTAGTACAGTTTACAACACTCCCATAGTGAAGTCCACTATGCTCTGGACTGAGGGGAACCAACTTTAATAGAGATCAAAACAGTCAGGCATCCATATCTTTTGGTCACCATCAGGAAGATCGGAACCACCCACCCCCAAGTAAACATCACTGTTTGTGTTTATTTATTTTTAAACTTTGTGATTGATCAATGCATAAAACAAATTTCATATGTAAGGCATGAAATTCAGCATTTCATAATAATATCGTAATAAACTCTAACAACTAAATTAGCAGCCAGACATTTCCAGCAATCACTTGGAACAACAGAAATAATGTAACTGAAACAGAACGCTGACCCGATCAACTGTCTCTGGCATTAGCAATTAACATTGTGGTTTGCCTGAACATTCCAGAAGCAGGAGGCTGCCTGTGAAAATGTGCAATTCCACTGAAATTCTTTAAGAACAGTAGTTGGGAGTAAGTGGGGGAAGGTCAGATTAAAAGCCATGTAGCAACTCCAAAATGGCAAAGGCAATAATGCTTTCTTTTCAGTGACCAGCAACAGTAAACAGGACATCTTCAAGCACAAGCTTCTCCTCCCATGTAGAAAAAAAGACCTGGGATGGAGGTGAACTGCAAGTTTTTCTTCAATTATTAATCAAGCATTCCATACTCTAAGGTAGTGAGTGAAGTGACTCTTGCTTAGAAGGGGACCTGCCTGCAGGCACAGTTTACCAATTTGCAAACAAACTGGCCCTGTCTACGGGATAAGCTTTGAAAGTGGCAGAAAATGGGAAAGGAACATTCTATTTTATGGCAAGAATCCAATCCAACAATCCAAATGTCTGAGCCTCCTCTCTCCCCTCAAGTTTTATAGAGTTTATTATAATGTTTAAAACGGGGGTGGAAAACCTTTTTTGGGTTGGGGGCCACTGACCCATAGAAAAGTCAGTCGGGGGTGCACACTAATAAGAAACCAAGTGAGAAGCAGCTGACTGAAAAGGGAAAAGACACTCCTCACATACCCCTGGCACACCAGAGCCTAGGGGGGCCCAGGCTAGTAGATTTTGTATGCTCCAGCCCTGTAGGTGGGTGGCAGGGGAGGTGGAGCATCAACAAGGGCTCTTCAATGTGAGGAGGATCCTGGAGCCTCAGGGGCTGATTCCAGCCCCCAGGCCTGAGGTTCTCCACCGCTGGTTTAAAAAGAAATAGAAGTGCCACTATGATTACATTACAAGAATTTCAACAATGAAAAACTGCTGCTGGGCTAAGCAGCAGATACTTGGATTTTCTAGAGAGACTGAGACACGAAAAAGGGGAATATTGCTAAAAGTGTATAAAATTGTATCTCTTTAAGGGACAACCATTATCCTTTAAAGTCTCTCTCCATAAATGAGAAAAAATACATCTCTTCAATTAAAAGGATTTACATTTAGGAAGTCACCAAATTTTCAGAAAACAAAGATATCAACCCTGATCCTAACCTTTTTTCAGGTATAAAACATAAGCTGTGCTGTCACTGGCCTGGGGTTCCGGAGGAAATGTCCAGTGAGATGGGTGAAGAAGCAAACATGGGTGGATGGCTGGGAGGGTGCAGAGAAACTGGGAAGAAGGCATTTACTCGTATCACATCTCAGCTTTTCCAACTCTGCCTGAGGTCTCTCAGAGAATGTAACACAGGTTTATCATAGCCACCTTTCAGGTTTCACCCACTTTATCGTACTTCCAAATGAGCAGCTTGAAGTAGCTGTTAGTAGCTATTAAAATCGCTAGAGCACTTTGAGCAACAGCTCCATCTCTCTCTCTCTCACATAAGCCACTGATGCAATTCTGTTTCCTCTTTCACTGACGCATTTAAACTGCAAGTCTTAGGATCTCAGAAAAGGGGAGGGAAAACAAACACACAAACAGCAAGCAACAGGAGAGAAAACAACTCAGGTATCACACAGTCACAGGACCACCTCTGACAGCAGAGTTTGTGCATCTCCCCTTCACCCATAAGCCAAACCCTAGCCCCACTGGAGCCAACCGGAGTTTTGCTACGGGTTTCTCATGATTTGCCCCCCAATCTCAAAACAGATGTGTAACTCTCCCCCCCGCCCCCAGCTTACAGACAGTCGTGTAACCTCCTCTCTCCGCCCCGCCCCAGCCTGCAAACACACGTGTAACCCGCTCTTACAACCAGCCTGCATATAGATGCAGAAGTGCTGGAACGAGGGGTGCTGCGGAGTACTTGTGCACCCCGAGGCTTGAGGCTGGTTCCATGATCTGGTTTAGAGTTTGGTTCAATTGCTCTGGGAACCCCTGTACCAAATTGCTCCTGCGCGCTGTACTGATGTGTAACCTTCCCCTCGCCTGCGGGCAGCTGTTCAGTGCGGGCTCACCCCGGGTCGCGCGTACCCCGCCAGCGGACAACGCCCCCGAGCATCCCGCAGCCCTGCACGGGGCGCGAGGGGGTCTGCTGGACGCACGTTGCAGGCCCGCGCTTACCGCCGTAGAGCCGGAGGAGGAGGCGATGTACACGCGGATCACCATCCTGAGCGGAGCGGAGCTGGCGCCTCGTGCTGGGTGTGCGCTGGCGGAGCAGCCGGAGCTGGGGCAGCGCGGGGGGCGGGGCCCCTCAGCCCCGCCTGCCGCTGTGAGGTTCGCCCATGAGCGCTGCTTGCGGGGCACTGGGCA